CCGGCTCCTTTTGGTCCCCCCTGTCCCCCCACCCCCCCATCTCCCACCTCCAGCTGGTGCAGCAGCCAGACCACCAGGTGTGTCCGAGGGCTGGGCGAGCAGTGGCCTGACTGTGCGGTCTGATTTGTCCCCAGAGCGCGGCGCCAAGCCCGTCACCAGCTTTGTGAAGAACCTCTCTGCCTTATCTGACTGGTACTCCGTCTACACGTCCGCCATCGCCTTCACCGTGAGTGCTCCCCACAGAGTGGGGGGGTGTGCTCCCTGACGGGTGGGGGCTGTGCTCCCCGCAGGGTGGGAGGTGTGCTCCCTGACGGGTGGGGGCTGTGCTCCCCGCAGGGTGGGGGGGTGTGCTCCCTGACGGGTGGGGGTGTGCTCCCCGCAGGGTGGGGGGGTGTGCTCCCCGCAGGGTGGGGGCGTGTGCTCCCTGACGGGTGGGGGCTGTGCTCTCCGTGGGGTTGGGGGGCGTGCACCCCACCCCAAGTTTTCCCGGGGGACCCCCCTGCTGTTCCAGGCAGCTCTATGGGGTTGTCAGGACGAGAGAGGTGTCACTGGGGGCAGCCTAGGGCTGGCCCGTGGGGCTCCTGGTGTCCGGAAACGCCCCCACGGCAGTGTTCTTGGGGAGGGGTCTCGGGCTGAACTGGTGGCCGGCTTCCCGGTGGGTTGGGGAGGGAGCCTGGCCAGTCACCTGCCTGCCCCCCGTTTGTCTCTCCCGCACCCGCAGGTATACATGAACGCCGTGTGGCACGGCTGGGCCATCCCCATGTTCCTGTTCCTCGCGATTTTGAGGTTGTCCCTCAATTACCTCATAGCCCGGTAGGTGTGCTGGCGGGCCTCGTGTGCGGGCGGCCCCGTCTCCCCGCCTTTCATGCGCGGCCGGCTCTGTCGCATGCTGGCATCTCGGGAGCTTGTTCTAGCTTCCCTGGTGACCCAGATAGTAAAGAGTCTACCTCCAACGTGGGAGACTGGGTTGGATCTCTGGGTCAGGAAGATCCCCTGGAGAAGGCAATGGCAGCCCACTCCAGTGTTCTTGCCTGGAGAGTCCCACGGAGGGAGGAGCCTGGCTGGCCACCGTCCGTGGGGTCACAGAGAGTGGGACACGACTGGGTGACTCACTCACTCACTCACTCTCTGCAGCGCCTGGACTCCGGGAGGAGGGTTTGCTGGCAGAGTAATGACCAAACCCCAGCAGCCCTTTGCTGTGGGCGGCCAGTGGGCTCCAGCTTTGGGGTGACTCTGGCCGCTCCTCTTCTTGCACCGCTTTTAGGCAGGAAAGTCCCCCCCCCCAGCAGTGACATCCCAGTGGGGGGCTGACGGAGCTGCAGAGATTGTGTCCTCAGGGTCCCAGCTGATGCGTCAGAGGCCTGGGACTCAGCACCCCTGGGGCCCGGGGCCTGCCTGCGCTCTGAGTGCCCCCTTCCCTCTCAAGGCTGGGGTGGGGGCCATGTTGGAGCCGGCCTGCGTGGGTCTGTGTAGCCCTGAGGTCGCCCTGCAGAGTGAATGAACCCCGGTTTCACATCAGGCCTGAGAGTAGGGCCTGTCTCCCGTGTTTTTATTCTACCGTTCAGACATTCACTTTCACACACCAGTGTTTCTAGGTGTTTGTGTGTGCTCGCATAAGTTGCTTCACTGGAAAATGTTTCTTGGTGAAAAAGCAAATTTTTAATTGCTTCTGAAAGGGTTCTCCGTGCCCAGACTGGTGTGGTTCCTGAAGCTCTTGCCACTGTGGCCCCCCGACTTATTCTGGGAGGGCCCTCATGTCTGGGTGCTGGTCCATATGCCCTCCGCCCAGGAGGGCTCCCAGGGCGGGGTTGGTGGGGGCGGCTCGATCGTCTGCTCTTGAGCCCAGGAGGGGCCTGGTTGGGTCTCGGCAGACGGCCGGGTGTTTCAGAGGCTCCTGTCCCCACGGCCGGCGTTTCAGGGGACGCCTCCTGGGTCTTGGCAGATGGCCGGGTGTTTTGGAGGCTCCTGTCCCCACGGCCGGCGTTTCAGGGGACGCCTCCTGGGTCTCGGCAGACGGCCGGGTGTTTCGGAGGCTCCTGTCCCCACGGCCGGCATTTCAGGGGACGCCTCCTGGCTGGGAGCACGGGGCTGGTGACCCGACGTCCCCCCTGGGCGCCCCCCGCTTGCAGACGATGCTCTGGTAAAGGTGTGTTGTCTCCTGTTCGCCAGGGGCTGGAGGATACAGTGGAGCATCGTGCCCGAAGTGTCTGAAGTGGTGGTAAGTCCCGGGAGGGGCTCTGTCATGGGGTCAGGCTGTGTGGGAGGACGCGGGTCCCCTGAGGCCCCCAGGGCTGGCTGCATGGGCACCAGCGGGGAGCCCTGCCCGGCGGGGAGTGCTCAGAGAGGAGACGGCTGGCTGCTCCCACTCAGAGCCCTCCCCGGCTGACGTCCTTGGCCTGGGCTTGTCCGTGTGGGAAGCAGCTTGGCCTAGCCTGGCCTGGTCTGCCCCGCCTCAGCTGGGACGTGATGTGGAGGGGAGGCAGCGAGGGGGCCCCCAGGAACCGCTCCCCCCCGTCCCGAGGAGGGAGGTGGACATGTAGAGCGGGGTCAGCAGAGCTCCCTGTGGCCCGTCGCTTGCTCTTGTAAAGAACGTTTTATGGGTCTCTGTCACGCCCACTCATTTATGCTGTGACTTCTGGGGCTGCAGCAGCCGTGACAGACGTCAGGCCTGCGGAGGCACACCTGCTTGCCCCCTGGCATTTTACAGACAGTTTGCCCACCTGCTCCGCAGGGGACCCTGGCCTGAGGGGCAGAACCGCTGGGCATGGGCGGAGGGGAAGCCGCGGTGCCTCCATGGGCCTCGTGGGGTGTTTGAGCAGCCCCTGGGGGTTGAGCATGGACCAGGGCAGGGTGCAAGCCACGGTGGGTCTGCAGGGCCCCTTAGACGGGTCAGGTTGGGGGACGCGTCGGGGAAGTGGGCCCGCGCCCTTTGGCCCTAGCACCGGAGGTCCTCGGGAGGTTCTTGCTGAGTGAACTCAGGCCGGCTGGACGAGGTCAGGCACTCCCACTGGGGCCTTGGTCCCCGCGCCTGGGAAGCAGGGCTGGGCCAGGGGCTCTGTGCTCACAGGTGCTCCCCTGTAGGTGGCCTGTTGGGGCAGCAGTCAGGTGGGGGGCTGCCCGCTGTCTCTCGGGCTCCACGGGGGCATCAGGGGGAACGGCTGTCCATGCCGCGCCCTCGGTCTGGGCCCCCCAGGGATGCCCGTCCCTCTGTCGGGGCAGCAGAGACCCCGATCCCCGGGCTGGGAGGCCTCGTCCTGTTTAACGTTGGTAATTTCTCTGAACTGTTAAATTTCAGTGGAAATTCTCTTTCTCCTTTGACTGAAGGAGCCTCCGAAGGAAGACCTGACCGTGTCTGAGAAGTTCCAGCTCGTGCTGGACGTCGCCCAGAAAGCCCAGGTGCGTGCTGCCGGACTCGGGGGTGGGGGCCTCCGGAACTCCAGCCCGGCCTGCCCGTGAGCCCACTCCGTGTGGAGAGCCCCCCTCTGGCGTGGCCTTATCTGTGGCCAGTCCCAGTGGGTGGAGCCCTCCTGACCGTCACCCCGGGCGAGCTCCCGGGAAGGCGTGGAGCCTGGTCCCTCGTCTCCAGTGGGCGGGGTGTTCACCCTCGGTTGGGCTCAAGCCCCGTTGCTGGCCCTGGGAGCGATCCAGGAACACGGGCCCATGGCGCCTCCGGCCGTGGTCTCTGGGCATCTCCAGCGTCGCCGTGCGGCCCCGAGGGTCCCGGGGGTCTCTGTCGTGACCACAGCTCCATCTTCACACAGAACCTCTTCGGCAAGATGGCAGACATTCTGGAAAAGATCAAGAAGTAAGTCGCGCGCCTGGGGCCTGCCCGCCGGGGGTCCTCCCGCCTGCTCTGAGCCTGCCCTCTCCCTCCAGCCTGTTCATGTGGGTCCAGCCCGAGACTACCCAGAAGCTGTACGTGGCACTGTGGGCCGCCTTCCTCGCCTCCTGCTTCTTCCCCTTCCGCCTGGTGGGGCTGGCCCTGGGTAAGGAGCTGCGGGTGCCCGGCCCTCTGACCTGCGTGGGAGCTGGGGGGCCCTGTGCCCCTAGGACGCGCCCCCCACCCCCCGACCNGGCCCGCTGGACTTGGGTGTCTGCCATGGCTCTCTGTGAGCGCTCCTGGGCTCCCGGGGTGGGGGGGACAGGTCAGAGGGTACAGGGGTGTGATGGGGCGGGGTGGGAGCCGGCGTCAGGCCAGGGCTGTGGACAGGCGGCCTCAGGTCCTGTGGTGGTGTAGGGACTCAAGCTGGGGCTGGAGGGGGCGCAGTTCTGACCTGTGTTTTGGGCGCATCAAGGACGTCCCTGGGCTGGGGTGAAGTGAGTCTGGGGTGTGCTCAGGTCCAGGCGGGTTTGCAAAGCATCACTGTCAGGGTTTGCGAGGGAGGGCTGGGCTGGGGCAGGGGTCAGTTTTGCCCTGAGTGGCTGGGTGGGCTGTTCGGTGCCTCCAGGGAGGTGGGAGGGGCAGTGGGGTGGGGGGCGTTAGCGTTTAATCCTGGGTGGGGAGGTGTGCAGGACCAACCTCCGCCCAAACCCCCTGGCTGTAGGTTGAGTTCCCAAGAGAACAAGGCTAGGCTTGGAGTCCAGGGTGGCGGGGAGATGGGAGATGGGGGAGGGGACCTGGGTGGTGGCCTGGCGGGGAAATAGGCTACTGCGGGCAGGAGGGGGCCGCAGGGGTGCCCTGTGAGGCCCCTCGGAGGTTGGGAGGGGGCTTGGTGGGGAACGTGGACGCTGTGGAGCCTGGCTCGATGGGCTGAGCTGGGCTGAGCTGGGCATGGAGCTGTGGGTTGGGGGTTCTGATGGTCGGGGTCATCCCTGAAGTTCGCAGTGGGTGCGGATGCTCAGCCCCCTGGTGTGAGGGTCGTAGCAGGACAGGGAGGGGGGCACAGGCGTGAAGAGACTGCCCGGGGCTGAGGTCGGGGTCCTGAAGCAACCCAGCCCCTGGCCCAGCCTAACGCCAGCCCCTCAGGAAGTCACACCGCCTCCCCAGGCGCGGCCCGCAGGCCCGGCCGTGGGCGGGGTTCTCCCAGCCTTGGCATCCCCTGCCTGGAGCTGACTCTGGGCCCGTCCTCGGCGTGTGAACCAGGGTGGGCAGGCTGGGGCGGGGTCCCCTGAAGTCCTGCTCACGTCCCCTCGGAAGACGGTGACCCATGGTTCTGTTTGGTTGGCTCTTTTCAGGGGCAGTTTATCGTTTGGCCCGAGCTGCCTCTGGGCTTGAGATAACGGTCCCCAGCAGAGGCCTCCCTCTCAGCTGGAGCCCCTTCCCCGCCCTGCGTGTCCACCTCCCAGGACCACCGTCCGGCACCTGGGTCCCGGGAGGCCCTCCGCGAGCACCGGGGCCCCCAGGCGGGGCGGGGACTGTGTGCTGGCCGCTCACTCGGGCGGGGCCGCAGGGTCTTGCTGAGACGGGACCTCATCTGCCCCCCCAGGCCTCTACGCCGGAGTCAAGTTTTTCCTCATCGATTTTATCTTCAAACGCTGCCCGAGGCTGCGAGCCAAGTACGACACCCCCTACATCATCTGGAAGAGCCTTCCCACGGACCCCCAGCTCAAGGAGCGCTCCAGCACCACCGTGTCACGCAGGGTAGGCCGCGTCCCGGCTGGGGAGGCCTGCCCGCCTGCCCTACTGTGCCTCGCGCCCGCTCCTGGGAAGGCTGGTGGCTCTGGTCTCGTGGGGCCCTGGAAATAAGACCACTGTGGGGGCAAGTTCCCCGTGACCGGCTCTGCTGTCCCAGAGGTCTGGGGCGACTATCCCAGGGCCGGGCGGCCCTGCGCAGGGGACGGCTGTTGGGGGAGGTCCCGACCCACCTGAAGACCTCTGCCCATCCAGACTGGCTGGTGAGCAGGCCCTGCCCAGCCAGCTGGGCCGCCAGGCCCCAGGCAGGAGGGTTCAGGGTGCTGGAAGCCGGAGCCCCGGGGGGGCCTGCTCTCTGGGGGGGGCCTGGTCCCCGCTCCCTGGCTCAGCCTCGGGCAGCAGGGCTGAGACGGCACAGTCAGTGCTCACAGGCTGGCAGAAGGCTGGTGGGCATCGGGCACCATGTCCAGAGCCAGGACGCTGAGGGCCTGCTGGCCTTGCTGCTCTTCTTGGGGTCTCAGACTAGTGGGGAGGTTCTGGGCTCAGTAGGACTCCCGTGGAGGTGTAGGAGGGCTTCCTGGAGGAGGTGACGTTGGGTTTCAGCCGTGTGTTTGGGCGTCCAGTGATGGCCTTGATGCCCGTCTGGGAGGGAAGCGCTGGGTCAAGCACAGTCCAGGCTTCCTGGGTTCGGGGGCCACGAGGCTCGTTGCGGGGTGGGACTCACAGGCCAGGTGCACAACACACACCTCACTGCACCCATGGGTGGGCTCCGGTCACAGACCCAGGTGCCGGGGCTGAGGCCCACAAGCAGGCTCTCTGAGTCTTAACCAGAGAGCAGGGCGGCCCACTGGCACGCGGCTCACTCAGTGGGTGGTCGCGGCTTCCCGTCACGCGGCCCCCGCCCCTTCTTCTGTCCTGGTCCTGTGTGCGTTGTTCTTTCTGGCCAGCGGTCAGGACGCGACGAGGTGCGGTGTCCGCGTGGACGCCCCTCCTGCCCCGGGGCTGTGCGTGACTCTGGTTGACTCTGATGACTGATGTTGTTCTCGGTGGCCGGGGCTTCGGCCGGCCCAGGGTGGGGGGCGACCGCGTGCCTCCCCTGCCGCCTCGGCGGGTGGTGCTCACAGGCGCCTGGGCCCCCTCAGCTTCAGACGGCATCCTCCCGGAGCTGTGTGTCTAGTGCGCCCGCCGGCCTGAACAGGGACGAAGACGCTGGCCGCCTGCACGGCGCCAAGAAGGGCAACTTCCACGAGATCTTCAACCTGACGGAGAACGAGCGTCCGCTGGCGGGTACGTGCGTGCCAAGCCTGTGGCCAGGCCTGGCGGCCCGCCCGCCCTGGTGCTGCGGCCCAAAGGCGGGAATAGACCGTGGGGGCTGGGGGAGGGCCCCAGGGGCAGAGGTTAGAGTGGCCAGGCACGTCTGCAGCGGGTGGTCTGGCAGCAGAAAGGTAAGCAGGCGTGGTCAGGGCGGCTTAGACGTTGTGGCCTCTGTTGTGTGTGACCACGGCCACAGGAGACTTTTGCAGAGCTTCAGCCTTGACCTTCTCCCAAGCCCTCTTCCTGCTGACCTAGACCGTGAACCGGGCTCGGCCTTCCTGCCCCTGCCCGCTCATGTGGGCGGGGACGCCCGTTTCCCAGCAGCTTTAGCCCCCACTGCCCCCAACCCCATGGGTTTCTCTGATAGTGGAGCGCGTGCCTCGGACTTTCCCGAGAAGCCAGCGCTGACACTCCCAAGGCGAGTCCAGGGCGGGCGTCTCCGGGGGGAGCATCACGGCCAAGTCCTGCTGGCTTTGTCCCTGTTAGTGTGTGAGAATGGCTGGCGGTGCTGCTTGATTAACCGGGACCGGAAGATGCCGACTGACTACATCAGGAACGGGGTCCTATACGTGACGGAGAAGTGAGTGAGCCGTGAGCAGGGTGCAGGCAGGCGTGACCCCCGGGGGCGACCGGAGTCCGAGCAGGCATCCCTCCGGTCCAGCGCCTGCCCAGAGCCGCTGGGCTCCGGCCCTGGGGTCCGACACGCCGGACCCCGGGGTGCCCTGGTCTGCCGCGCTCGTCTTGTGGCAGGAACCCACCCCCCAGCCTGGACCCCCAGGGCTCCCAGGGCGGCCGGCAGATTCCTTGTTCATCTCCCTTTGGGACGAGGCGGCCCAGCTGCCCCTTGGGGGTGGGGGGTGGGGAGCAGGCCCAGAGAGGGCCTGGTCTCAGCTTGGGGGGTCCCCGACCACCTTGTCCCCCACCCTCCGCCGAGGACCACGCCTTTCTCCCCACCCCCTTGCTGGAGGTTCTGGCCAGGCAGACCCCCCTGGGCCTCAGGTGCAAATATCTCCCGCTGGGCGCCCCGCAGGGCTCATTGCGGGATGGTGAGTGGGGTTCAGTGGGAGTGCTGGGCTCTAGGCTAGAGAAGCCGTGAGACCCTGTAAAAGCGAAACTCTTCGTGGGAGGCCGGCGTGTCCTGGCCAGTGAGGGGGGCCCCATGTCTGGGCTGCGGGGCAGCTGCAGGCGTGGCCCCCTGGTTCACTGGCCGGACTCTGTCCACTCCCCCGCCCACCCTGTAGTTACCTGTGCTTCGAAAGCTCCAAGTCCGGCTCCTCTAAGAGGAACAAAGTCATCAAGCTGATGGATATCACAGACATCCAGAAGGTGGGTGCTGCCCCCCACCCTCCCCCTGCCTCAGGAGCAGGCAGCTGAGGGTTCGTGACGCAGGGAGCCACCCTGGGAGTGGGGGGCCGTGTAGACCATCAGGCTGGGCCCCTGGGCCCCATCGGTGCAGGGGGGTGGGGGGGCCACACCGCGGGCTGGGCCACTCCTAGCGTAGTGGGCCGGTGCCCGGCATCCTTGCATGGACGGAACGGGGGGCAGTGAGCTGGGCGCCCGAGCCTGCACACNGAGGCGTTCGAGACCATCTTCAGCCAGTACATGAAGATCACGTCCGCGGCAGCCGCTGGCAGTGACAGCTAGTGCTGACTCACCTGGACGCTGCTGAAGTTTTTCTTTTCTTCTTTTTTCTTAACAATTTGGTAGTGGAAAAAAAAATCGGACATCCTCATGATCTTTTGCAATAATCCCCCCCGGATGTGTGGTTTCCGTTGTGTTGACCCTGCGTTTTGTAGACCCCTTTGTGCAGGGGTCGGGGCTCTCGAGGGCTTGTCCCGTGGACGCGGGGGCCGCCGGGAAGGACGACGACACATGGGACCCGCCGCCAGGCATGGCCGGGCCCCCTCGGTCCCCGCGGGGCAGAGACCGCCCAGCCCGGGTCCCGGGCGCCAGCAGCTCTTCTGCACCAAAGCCATAGGAGGAGTATGCAGGGCCTCCCTGTGGAGAAGGGCGTCCGCGACGGGTGAGGGGCCCCGCCAGCCTCCGCGAACAGGCCGGCCCTTCAAGGAGGCCCTGCACGCGTGTTGGGAGTGTGATGCCGGCCGCCGCTCGGGGTATGCGGGGAGGCCCAGGACGACAGCCGCTCCGGGGGGGGAGCTCCATGCTTCAGGGCTCATGCCGGCTTCCAGGCTGCAGGGCCAGCTGGGTGAGGGGCTCCTGGGCTGGAGCAGGAAGGACAGGGGCGCCCCAGGCCCGCGGTGGCCTACCCCTGCAGGCTGTGACAGGCACTGAGTCTGCCTGGTGTTGGCCGTGGCGCAGAGCAGAGCCCGGAAGCCAGCCCGCACGCGGGTGCACCCAGGTGGAGGGGAGCTGGGTCCTCACACGCCTGGTGTCGGAAGCCAGCAAGGCGTTGGGACTGGCCCGAGACCTCGGGACAGACATGCCGAGCCACTCAGCACATTTCCAACAACAGGCCCCGCCAGCCCTCAGCTTGTCCTGAGTCCCCCGGGAGACACTGGGTTTGTTGTTTTTTGAAGAAACAGAAGATTATATTTTTTACAGAGAGCAAGCTGTTTTTCTTATTTTTGTATCATTTTTCAGATGTGATTTTTACCTTTGCTCCTAATTTGCTGGTCGGGTGAGCGACACGGTGGCCTCGCTCTGGTCACACCCCCGGAGGGGGCCCCCAACTCCCCGCGGGGAGCCTCCCCCACCAGCTCCCAAAGCACACGCCCCTGCTCGGACCGCACGTGTGGGGCCGGCTCGGCTCCCGGTTCCCCCCAGCGCTGGGGTCTTGCGATTCTGCAGGTCGACCTTGAACAGACGTAGGCGGAGCCCCCCTCCTCGGCCTGGGCTTTGGCCCCTGGTCAGCGCAGGTGGACCGGGTCTCGGGCTGAGTGAGGGTCCACAGCCAGTGGGGACCCCCTCCGGGCCCGAGGCAGGCTGAGTGGGCCCTGGACTTGGTCCAGGATGACTGCGGGGGTGACACCCGGGGGTGCTGCCAGACCCCATCGCTGGGGCTGCCGCATGGTCAGCGTGCGTCCCCTGTAAGCACGCTGGCACTGTCTCCGAGCCCAGGGCGGGGGCCCTGCGGGGGAGCGGACTTGCTGTCTTCAGAGCCGCATGGCTTGGTTTGAGTCCCTTCCCAGGAGAAAGGGAGATGAAAACTGACCATGTGCTGGGCGCGGCTGGTAGGGGCTGCGGCGGGCCCTGCTTGGAAGCCCAGGGCCTCCGCCGGGAAGGGCACAGGCCTGAGCAGACGCCCTGTCGGCGAGAGCCGGTGTTGTTTTTACTGAATCGTGTAAATCTGGGCAGATGTTTGATTTCTGCGACTAATCCCGGAACTGAATGAATGTTAACATTTTTTATGTCCGAAGCTTGAGTCTCTTTTCAATCTGTAAATACTCGTTACCAGTGTGACTTTTGTTCAACAAAAGGATTGTACTGTATGAAGAACTAATTAAAAAAAAAAATCCTCCTGTAACATTTTTTTAAAAAAAAAAACCTTGTTTAAAGAAAAAAGTCTTGTATAAATTATAAATTTTTATTTAAATACACCTGGAATGCGTTGTGCTCACAGTGGGGGGCGGCGCGGGGTCGGGGGCCAGCAGCACTGGAGGGCAGTGGGGTTTTGGCGCCGAGTCCGAGGGGTGAGGCGGGTCCCCCGGGAGTGGGCCGTGGGGGCAGGGCAGCGGGCTGTGCACACGGACAGGCTGGGAAGAGGGAGGCAGGAAGCCAGCGATGAGTGGTGGCCTCCTCCCGGGGGCCGTGGGCGTCTTGGGGGCCGGGTGCTGCTTGCAGCGCCCCCCTGCGGCTGAGAGGTGGGAGGCAGCGGGGCCCTGGGCAGAGGAAGCCAGCGATGAGTGGTGGCCAGCGGGGAGGGGTGTCCAGGGGCTGGCACACACCGGGGAGGTGGGGGGAGCTCCCCCCCCCGGGGGCCGTGGGCGTCTTGGGGGCCGGGTGCTGCTTGCAGCGCCCCCCTGCGGCTGAGAGGTGGGAGGCAGCGGGGCCCTGGGCAGAGGGATCCTCAGGAGCACGTGTGGTTCCGCGGATCCACTCGCCGATCCGGGGCACGGATGCAGGGACCTGCCTGGCTTCTGCAACCACGGGGGCCGTGCCCTGACCTGTGCTTGGGGCCCAGCGGTGCGGGGCGGGGGGGTCTGGGGGGCAGGAGGAGGAGACGGGAGCACAGAGGGAGTGACATGAACGTTCTTGTTCTTGAATTGGGGCTGTCTCCACCGGTGCAGTTTACAACATGGCATTTGGGGAGTGGATCTTACGACTGACGGACAGGTAAATGCGCACAGTGTCCACAGGGGGCGCTCACGGTGAACCAGGAACTGGGTCTAGTCCGGTTGGCCCCACAGTAACCAACAGGCCAGAGCCATTCCCTGTGAGGGATCCTGAAGACTGCAGGGTGTTGGGGACCGGCAGCTGCGGTCTGTGACCCGAGGGAGACCCCAGTGTCTGGCTCGCTGAGACCTGCCCCCAAAACACTGGGACAGGAAGCCCAGCCCCTTCCTCTTGTGGACCCAGCGTCCTCCACGGTCAAGGGCTGGCATCCCACCAACAAGGTTGTAAAGGAAGACACTCCAGTATCTGTGATTACAGACAGTCCCCAGGCCTGCAGATAAATGAGGCCAGCTTTCTGGATATAATCTCATTCATAAAAAATAACTGCATTTCTACTTGAAGGAGAGTGGCATCTCAATAATGATGTTTTTAAGAACAAATCTAAATAAAATTGAGAGATATGGAAAAATTACAAAGCTGCATTAAAGACATCAATGAGGACTGACGTAAATGAAAATATATGCGATGTTAATAGACTGGAAAATTCCATTTCATGATGAAAACATCTTAATACCCGCTAAACGAAAGAAGCTACAGAAAAATGACACAACATGATGCCTTTATGTAAAGAGCAAAACCTGCAAAACTAAACACACTGTCTGAGGATATAAACACAGAGGAAGGGAGAAAACCTCCCTCCTCCCCTCCTGTGTTCAGTTACTAGGGTCGGCAAGTTAAATCAACAAAAGGCAAATTAGAAAAGGCATGGGATTTTTATTTAATGCTAATATTTAAGTATTTTTATGTTCCTGGAGGCCTTTGTGGAAAAGCAAAGAGGTGGTCAAACTCAGGGTTTCATATGCCATTTTAATAAAGGGCAACAAACTTGTCAAGAAGTGACAAGATAAAAGGGAGCTTGGCTTCTTGGGTAAAATTAAGGTATTGAGGAATGTTATTTGGGGGGAAATTAACAGAACAGAGTGAAAGTCACTCAGTCATGTCTGGTTCTTTGCGACCCCATGGGTCATACACTCCATGGAATCCTCCAGGCCAGAATACTGGAGTGGGGAGCCTTTCCCTTCTCAGGGCAGCTTCCCAACCCAGGGATGGAACCCAGGCCTCCCACACTGCAGGCAGATTCTTTACCAGCTGAGCCACAGGGGGCTGGCTAGCGGAACAGAAGGGCTGTTGCATTGTTCAGTTTGGTTTGTCAGCTCAGTGCTGGCTCTGTCCCCAGGGACACGGTGGCCCCCCGAGAAGAGGGGGGCTCACCTGCACACAGGGAAGGTGTCGCCCTGCAGGCAGACGGTGGGGGGAGGGGGGAGGCAGCGCTGTCTGCATTGGTGGCTGCGTCACTGTCTTCTGCTCAGAACACCTTCATGCCCAAGTGGCCCACGTGGGGTGCTGTGTTCCGATCCCCTGACGTGGAGAAGCAAGGGATTCCCTCCTCCGTGGAGGCAGGGGAGGCTCCATCCACAAGGGCACACGGGGAGGAGCCTGGGGGTGAAGATCAATTCCTAGGCATGGGTGGTAGGTTCACCATTGCTCAATTTCTTTAAATTGTACCTGTTTTCACACACACAAAAAATACTCTGCTTTGAAAGACAACAGGAATTTGTAAGAGAGAGAAAAAAGGCCACATTCTGCCCAAAGTAACAACTTTATTTGTCTTCTCAAACATATCAGAGCAAATTCGCCGTTTTCTAACCTTGAAGCCAGCAAGATTAGAAAGGAAGTTAAGCCACTTTCCGTTCCCACCGCCAGTTCCACGGGGCCGAAGTGAGGGCAGCGTCAGCCGGTGCTGGCCGCCCTGGCCTCTGCATAACCGGGAGCAAGGGAACCGCGGCCCCACTGAGCACGGCGGAGGTCACGACCAGACCAGCGCTTCCAGCGACCCCAGGTTCTCTCCGTCCAGCCATCAGTTCTGATTTTTCCTTAAAATCCTGGAGTTTAGGCGCTGTGGTTGTTCCACCAGAGTCCTGGCTCGTGGGAAGGTCGGAAAGGTACTCTGGTCCCGGGGTGGGGTCGTCCGCAGCTCCTGGGGTCAGGGTGGGGGCTCAGACAGTCACATGACCCCCAGGGACAGTTCCAGAATCTGCGGTTTTGTAGGTCAGCAAGCAGTTGGTGGATATGGCCAAGGCCACTGGGGAACCATGTGGCTTATGGGGGTGGGGGTGAGGGGTTCCTTCTTGAACAGAACATGCTTACTCTCGGCCTAGACTGGTTTTCTAGAAACGGCAGTGGGTTTCGGGGCAGACCAGTGATTGACGTTTCCCAGGGACAATCGAGACTGTGGAGACCCTCTTGGGGACCCAGTAGGAACGCGGTCTCCTGAAAAAGCCCTTTCGAAGCTGCCCTGGGTGGGAATGAGTGATGAGACAGGACATTTCACACGTACGAGTTCTGAGAATGAACGACATCTGTTAGATGCGAGGGTGCCCACCGGACCCTGTATGGCGGCTGGCGGCTCTCAAACCACTTCTTGTAACAGTTGAGCTCCCTTTTCACAAGTCCAAGTGGGGGCAGCATCCTCTTAGGTCTCAGATGAAGCTGTTGCAGACGTGTCGTCCACGCACTGAAGCACAAACGCAAACAAAACTGGGCCGAGCAAGGCGCCCCCTAAGCCCGGTCCAGGGTGGGGCCCGTACTTGCACAGCAAACAAATGAAAACATGGCCAGCGAGGACACTGTCTATGCTCTTCTGGTTTACAGGACAAATCTTGCAATAAATACATGGAAGGAAGTGTGAAGACAACAAAGGCATGGACCTGGGTCACGTGTACAGACTCGGGGCTGCGGGAAGGGCACCCCGGGATGTGGGACCCTCTCCCCAGGGCTGTGGGGTGCTCGGTCTGAGGTTCACGGGCTGCTTCCCATCTGCTCACCAAGCTCAACCACGGCAGCCCCCGCCATGGGGACAGCGCTGGGGGCGTCTAAGCGTTAAGACACTTGCCAGGGCTTCACGAGTGGCCGGTTTCCGGGGCGCCTGACCTGTCCTCCCACCAGATTGTCTAGAAGCACTGCTGTGATGGGAGAGGAGACTGAGCTCTTCACAGCTATGGGAGAGCAACCCGGGGAGTCCCTCCCGCTCTCTGGACCAGGCTGCCCTGGAGGCGGACTAGGACATTGCCTTGTAGATGCGCGAGACGGGAAGGGTCCAGATGGGCCACTCTAATCGAGAGGGAAGAGTCAAGTGCTACAAAGAGAACCATGACTCAGCAGGCGCTGACCACCGCACTCCAGAGCAGGTCCTGCCGAGCAGCCCAGGGACCCCGAGGACGCGCGCGACAGAACGCACCACCCCTGAGCTGCTCGTTAGAGCCAGGGCGGGCCGTCAGCGCACCCCAGCCGGCACGGGCAACCTGCTGGGGCTGATGAGACACGTGAGATACAGCCACAGACGCACACAGAACCGAAAATGCCAAATGCATCCACAAAAATTGCTGACAAAAACGTTATTTTTTCTAAAATCAATATTCAACTATCAAAAATAAATTTCTAAATTTGAATGTATCGCAACATAATTGGTCTGTCGTCATTGTCTGAGACACGGTCCCCACGGCCAGCGCTCAGCCGCGGGACTCCTGCTTGGGGCTCTCTTCGATTCCTCGTGCGAAGAGCCGGACCAGCTGGCAGTGGACCCTGCGGAGACAGAGGGCCACACTGAGATCCCGACCCCTGGCCCCGGGGAGAGGCGGGCCTCAGTCACCAGGGGGGCGGGTCAGGGGCTCGGAGAAATGTCCGGGCACCCCTGAGAGACCGAGTTTGCAAAGGGCAGTGACGGCCAAGCGGAGATCCAGGACTGCGCAGACCCACCCATGAGCAGAGGGAGAGCCCCACAGGCCAGCTCCCCGCCTCTCCTGGGTCCACTCATCAGAACTGAGCCGACAGGGCTGCAGGGCGGGTCCCACGAGGGCCACTCGGAGCATCAGGAGACGCAGTCCCGGAGGCGAGGGCCCCCACCTTCCACCGCAAGCACAGCATGTGAGCCTGGGGCTGGGAGGTCTGCAGCGGCTCCTGGGCTCCCCTCTCTGGCCTGGCAGGGCCTCCTCCCCAGGTTATGAATGACGTCACAGGCGCCTCAGAAATGCTGCGTCATAAAAACCCCCAAAGTGACGTGCTGTTCCAGGCACTGTAATCTTTATCAGGATGCATAGGATCTACTTCGTGAGAGAACGCCTTTTCTAACTGTCAACCATTCCTAAGCTGGCATTAAACGTACTTCCATCTCCTGAACTTGTGCCCTGAGTCTACCAAAGGCGGAGCCCCACACACAGGCCCACGGGATGGGTTTTCCTGGGACCGTGGAGGCCCCCTGCCCTGAGACGCAAGGTGGGCAATCACGGCCACACTGGCTGCGCCCCAGCTGCGAGAGCAGCAGCAAGCAGGCCGGGCCTCGGGGAGACTGGAGAGCCTGCTTCTGCCCGTGGCTTTGCTTGGACGCTAAGGGTAGAGAGACCCGGCTGGGTCAGTGGCTGGTTGCCTGAGAAGCCATCTAAAGCGGGGTTATAAGCGAGGACACACGTGGCATGCCGGAATGTGGAAGGTGTGCCCACCTGTCCTTCCACGCTGCAGGGGTGGGGCTACGTGCTTGCTTGTGATCACCTCCCTCGTGTAACCCACTCACTATGGTCAACGAGGGTCCAGTTTGGTTTCCTTAAAGTAGGCTTCCCTGGTGGTCCAGACAGTAAAGAATTTGCCTGCAATGCAGGAGACCTGAGTTCTTCCAGGAAGATCCCCTGGAGGAGGAAATGGCAACCCACTCCAGTAATCTTGCCTGGAAAATTCCATGGACAGGAGCCTGGCGGGCTACAGTCCAAGGTGTCGCAAAGAGTCGGATATGACTAAGCGACTGACACTTTGGCTTTCACTTTTCTCTCAAGATCCTAAAGGCATTTGTAACAGAATAGAGAGAATCCTTCTAGAATTAAACAGTTCCCCCTCAATCTCTTGGGGTATTCCCAGGGGGAACTAGTGGTAAAGAACCTGCCTGCCAATGCAAAAGATGTAAGAGATACAGGTTTGATCCCTGGGTGGGAAGGATCCCCTGGAGGAGGAAATGGCAACCCACTCCAATGTTCTTGCCTGGAGCTCCCCATGGACAGAGAAACCTGTCGGGCCACAGTCCACGGGGTCGCAAAAAGTTGGACACGACAAAAGTGACTTAGCGCACTTACACCCACACCTCCATCAACAGCCCTTTTAAAAAAAAAAAAAAAGAATGCATTTGACTATGTCCTTCCATGGGGAAAAAACCCTTCTCGGCACTTATATTAAAAAAAAAAAACAAACAATCTTTCTTGGCACTTATATTTCACCTGTTTATGTAATACATATAACCAGAATGCAGATTCCCAAGTCCAGATACAATAGGCCTAACGGATATGGAGCTGGAGGGTCAGACCTGGCACCTGGACCTTAGCTTGGTCGTGGGTTCCTTGGGCTGGAGCACCTCCTGGTGGAGTTAGTAGACCCAGGGCTCCAAAAGTGCCCACAAAGGGAGTTTGTTAGTTTAACTCGTTAGGAGACGAGAGGGAACAACAGTGCAGGACGCGGCAGAGAAAGTGAAACGGAGGGGCTTCCACCCCCAGCATCTTCCCAGCACTGAGACAAGGGCGTCTCCCGGGGACTGTCCCTGGGCACGCCCGTGTGTTCATGGCGGGCTCTCACACTCCAGGCGGTAGGGTGCCATGCTCCCGGGGCCCCTCCGCTCACCTGACCTCGATGGCCGGGCTGCTGAGCACCTCCCCGTCGCAGTTCCAGGTGCTGCTGGAGGCGCGGCAGCAGCAGGCGCTGGGGTGCTCGCTGCACAGCTGTCCCAGCCGCTTCTTCCCGCGGCCCAGCACGCTGCTGTCCTCGTCCTCCGCCGGCTTCGACACAAACTGGAACTTCTTGACGCGATAGACTTCCACGAAGGTGAAGTCAAACTAGCGAGAGACAGCCAGACGGGAACGCGCTCTCAGCGGCGCTGCGCTGGGGGCATGGCCACCGTCAGGGGGCCTCCCAGCGAGCCCCGCCACAACGTGGGGACACGAGAAACGGTCACCAGCGCTCTTAAAACCCGGTCTCAGCCGCGCTGCGCGACACTCGTTACGGAGTTTCCTGGTTCCCAGGCAGTGACCTGTACCATTCTTTACCTTTTTAACAAGCGGTAAAAACACATTAAAAACACCGTTGGATCAGATCTTAGAAAAAATTTAACAGCTGTGAACTTTACTACAATCTGAGACTGATCAAGAGTTGCAACTGGCTGGATAGCGTTAGACTCAGGATCCCCCGCGCCACGTCGCTACACTCATGAGAGTGGCTAAGGGTGGGTCTGCTGGGAGGGTCTCAGCAGAACCCCTTCCCGGGAGCCTGAAGACTGTGCTGTAAGTGGTCTGCGAGGGCAACAGAAAACGGCCCTGCATCAGCCTGTCCTGTCTGTAAACAGGAAAAGAAACAATGGGGAAGTGTATGGAAACATTCACGCCGCCTAGAGGCCGTAATCAAAGACTTTATAAGTAGACTTTATAAGAAGGAAGTATGACCAAGAGTTCACAGTGGGTGAAAGGCAGGCAGAGGCATCTCTCCTGCTGCCCCGAGCACGCACAGAGGTCTCCCCGCCCGGGCCGCCAGGTGGAGGGTGCAGCTGACACCGGCGGCGTGGAGGCGGCGGTGCCCTTACCTGGTCGCCCTGGTTGGTATGCCTGACCAGAAAGCGCAGGAAGTTGAACCGGGAGCACTTCCGGATGAGGATGAGGTCGGAGGAGCCGTCCCCCAGGTGGGCGGCCGGGGAGAGGCCCTGGGGGCTCCGGGGACAAGCGCAGGACATGTTGGTGGCGTTGATGGCCAGGAACTGCCCGCAGAGGACCTTCCACTCCTCCACCTCCTCTGAAGCGGGAGGAAGCATCACCGTTCAGTTCAGTTGCTCAGTCTTGTCTGACTCTCTGCGACCCCATGGACTGCAGCATGCCAGGCCTCCCTGTCCATCGCCAACCCCGAGTTTGCTCAAACTCATGTCCATCCAACCGTCTCACACCATGTTAAATCGGGGCCCAGCAGGTGGGGGTGGGCTCCTGCCCCTTGGCATCAACACAGAGACAGCCCGCCCGAGGTCACCTCCCGAGAGGAAGTCCTCCCCAGGGTGGGCGGGGACTGAGGGGCTCTGGGACCACCATCTAGGGCAGGGGTTGCCAGATCTGGCCTGGCAGCTGAGTGTGTGTGGCCTGTGAGTTTAGACTGAGTTTTACATTTTTACATGGGTTGGGGGGGGGGGGTGGAGGAATCAAACGAGGAAAGTATTGTGTGATGGATGAAAAAGACATGAAACAAATTTCAGCATCCACAAATAGCCCGGGGCTTTCATCTAGCCCTCAGTGAGGCCACTTGCTGACCCCCGTTCTAGAGCGTCCTGGAGACAGGCGCAGAGTAACTCAGAGGGCCGCGTCGAGAGGGGCCCTTCCACAAAATCTGCTCTTCCCCAAGGTCCGGCAGAGGCCACGGGCCCTCGGCCTGGAGGGACGGAGGAGCAGGTGCTCTGCAGAGAGGGAGGGGGCCCGCCACGGCCCGGACACCTACCCGTGCCGTCCAGGCCGTACAGCGAGCGCTTCTGCTCCTCCTCCAGCTGCTGCCTGCTCTGCCTGCACACGGAGCACCTGCGGCAACGACGGCGGGTCGGGGACGCGCGCACAGCGGGCCGTCAGCCCCTCCGGCGCGGCGGGAGCGCGCACAGCGGGCCGTCAGCCCCTCCCGCGCGGCAGGAGCGCGGCCTCGGACGCTTCACTTACAAATATTTCGCTTGCGCGTTAATTTCAGCTCTCAAAATCAGATTCGCTCCCAGAAATTACACAGGCAACAACATATCCTTCTCGGAAACTTATGGACGTTCCAAAGAGCCAGGCGCATCCCTTGCGGGCCCTGTGTCGGCTCCGGGGAGGGGTGAGCTCGGCCCGCAGTTGCGGGGGGCGGCACCGGCGGGAGCAGAAACCAGCTGCAGCTCCAGCCTTGGACCCGCCTGAGCCCTTGTTCCCTTCGCCCGACAGGTAACACGGCGGCCGTTTGGTCCAGCGGGTGACAAGCGAGTCAGCGGCTCAGAGCAGCGCTCACGGGAGCCGGTCGCAGGCCGAGGAGGGTCTGGGGTCCTCGGGCACCGCGGGGCTCCGGCCGCCCAATGGGCCCGGGGCTTTCGCTGGTGGAATCAGCTCATCGGAAGCCGAGCCAGCGAGGCTACGCCCCCAGCTGGTGGATCCTACGGCCTCAGATTCTTCACTCAGAGGAGGAAAGGACTGGGGCGGGGGGAACGGCCTACTTGCGAATGACTTAAAAAGGAAGGAGGACCATGAGCCCATCGAAGCCCCGCAGCCTCCCGCGTCCTCAGACAGCGGAGCAGGGACATGGCGGGGGCGGGTGGGCCGTGGCCACAGGGCGACCCCTGACCAGGCTCCGGGTTAACCCGGGCACGTGCAGTTCACGGCAGGGGCGCGCCGGGTGAGAAGTCAGTGCAGCTGGCAGAGGGGCCCCGCTGCAGACCCGGCCTCTCCTGACCACAGGGTGTCCCCGTCCAGCCGGCTCCATGGGCGCCTGGAGGGCGCACACAGAGCTGTCTATAAGGGCTCCTCTCCGTCATTTCTCAGGCCCCCAGCAGGGGGACAGCAGACCACCCCCCACCGGAGCACACAGTGTGGGGTGAGTCCTCCGCCGGGTGGACGATGGCCCAGGAGCCGGCACGAGGGGTCGCGGTGGAAACCTTCAGGGTGTGGGGGACCCTGGCCGCTGGACGTGATGAAGCAGCACCCCCACCTGACACTGCAAGGACCGCCCACTCAGCCCCCACCAGTCCTGCTTCCATCTCCTCATCCGAACAGAAACACGTGGGTGCGCTTACCCCGCCCGGCAGGGTTTCCGGTCCCTCGGGGAGCCCACGGTGTGCTGAGCTGGCAGGAAGGACACTGTGCCTTCGTAGCAGTGATGGGAGAAGAAGGTCTTCAACCCTGAGGACAGAGCGGGAGAGAGAGGGGACGGCGCTGTCAGCCTCGCGGAGGGGCTGGCGGGTCGCCGGGGACGCTGGGGACAGCGTCCGCAGGACAGGGCCCCTCTGGCCCCGGGCTGAGCTGCCGCCACTGTCTTGGGGCGCTGCAGGCTCCCGGCCGCCAGGGTCACCTTCTGTGCTGGCAGAGGGGGCGTCTCAGCCACCGGGGACCCCTCGTGGCCTAGGGTTCCGCCTGTGAAGCCCCGCACGCACTCCCAGGCTTGGCCCTGTCTTCCTCGACTCTGGGGTCTCTGGGGCCTGCCTCTCATGACAGATCGCTAACTGAGGAGGAGCTGCTTCTCGTGGATGAGGAAAGAGGGCAGCTTCTTGGACAGAATCTAGCCCTGGGGAAGATGCCGCGGAGACAGCTGAAGTGACGAGGATGTAGATAGAATACTACATAAACTCAGCTGACAAGCAGAGGCGGGTCTGAGAGGGCTGACTCGGGCTCTGAAAGAAGGTCTACTGTGGGTTAAGCACTATCAAATTTCACTGCAGGCTACAGAGACGTCGTTTCTGGAAGAAGAGTCGATCTATGCAGCAACCTTCACTGTTGGCTTATTTTAAGAAATTGCAACACCCTGCGTTCAGCACCCCCCACCCCAATCTGCCAGCAGCATCAACTCGGGAGGCAAGACCCTCTACCCAACAAGGGTTACGACTTACAAGGCCCAGATGGCAGTTAGCGGTTTCTAACCACAAAGAACTTTCAGACTAAGGTATGCACCTTTCTGAGATATAATGCTACTGCACACAGTACGCCACACTATGAGTGAGTGAGTGAGTGAAGTCGCTCAGTCGTGTCTGACTCTTTGCGACCCCATGGACTGTAGCCCACCAGGCTCCTCCGTCCATGGGATTTTCCAGGCAAGAGTACTGGAGTGGGTTGCCATTTCCTTCTCCAGGAGATCTTCCTGACCCAGGAATTGAACCCAGGTCTCCCGCATTGTAGGCAGACGCTTTATCGTCTGAGCCGGAAGTCCACCATACTACACTATAGTGTATACACAGCTTTTATAGGCACAGGGGAAGCAAAAAATTCATGTGACCTGCTTTATGTTGACATTTGCTTTCTCCAAGTGGTCTGGAACTGAGCCCTACATGTCTCCAAGGCGTGCCTGTAAATGTACCCAAAGTGAACCATAAGGGGAGTGACCAGGGAAACGACGCATTAAGTACAGCAAAAGAGGAGGGAATTCCCTGGCAGCCCAGTGGCTAGAACACTGCGTATCCATTGCCCGGGGCCTGAGGAGTCGGGGAGCTAAGATCCCGAAAACCCCCTGGTGCAGCCAAAAAATAAAAATAAAGAACTTAGTAAATACGGCCAGGGTGTTCGCCTCGGCCACAAGAGCGTCAAACTCTGACCTCTTTATCCTTTCAAGCTCCCTTCTGCACTGGGGCTTCCCTGATAGCTCAGCTGGTAAAGAATCCGCCTGCAATGCAGGAGACCTGGGTTCGATCCCTGGGCTGGGAAGATCCCCTGGAGAAGGGAAAGGCCACCCACTCCAGTATTCTGGCCTGGAGGATTCCATGGACTGTACAGTTCATGGGGTCCACAAAGAGTCAGACAGGACTGAGCGCCTTTCACTTCGCTCTGCATTTAAACACCGAAAGCTGGTGCTGCACACGCCCTGAAACTGCTGGCCCTCACTGGTTCATCCGGCCTGGAGTCGGTCGACCTCCCCTTGGCCCTGTACCTGGGGACCCGCGGACCCGCGCCCCAGGGAGAGCGAGGAGACAGGGGCTGGGGGTTCACGGGAGGGTGGGAGCTGGGCTACCTGAGAAGTCGTATCTGATGAGGCCCATCCACCGCTTCTTCTCACTGTCCTTGATGATGTCCCCGTAGAAGCCGTAGCCCAGCAGGGACACCGAGTACCGCAGGAGCGTGCTGTTGTGATGCACAGCCGACACGTCCATGGACAGCGAGTCCCCTGCAGGGAGAGGCGAGTGGGAGCCGCCCCCGGCCCCGGCCCCAGGAACGGCTCACAGGGCCTGGGACCTGCCTCAGGTTTCCAAAAGGGGCTTGGAAAGCTTTTCTGTGGGGATGGAACAACAACGGGGCCAGGAGGCTCGCTGTCTTGTGGAGTGGGGGGGGTGTGTCCCCCCAGGATGATAAGGGGCCAAGTCCTGAGCAGGAAAGAGGGCTGAGAGCAGGGCTCCAGACAGGCGGGGCCGGGCGGGGGCAGGGCGCTTGGCCAGTGCAGGGGCTGTGGGGAGAGCCAGCCGGCGCACGGGTGCTAGGCGCCCCAAGGCTGGGTCAGGGCCCTGGAGGGTCTGAGCAGCGCTTGTGTTTCTCAAGGTCACCCAGCTGGACGAGCTGGATGGCGGCAGGGGAGGGCGGCAGACAGGGCCCTGCGGGCGGACGGGCCGGGGCGCCCGCATGGCGAGACAGACGGACACCCGCGTGCGCCTGGAGCCCTGGGGTCCCGCACGCCGGGCGTGGCGCTGACAGGGCGCCTACCCACGATGATGTGCAGAGCCGAGGTCTCCGCGTCGTTTGTGCCGACTGTCGAGTAACACACGCAGTCCGTCGACCCTGAGACGGGGAGAGGCCCTTGACGTCACTGCAAGAACTTAAGGTCCTACGTGTTTCCAAGTAGGGGAGTAATAGTGCTTCCTTCTCTTCCAGAGACGGAGGAAGTACGGCGTAAATACAATCCACCTACGAAATTAGTTACTGAGGTTGTTACTGTTTGGTGTTCAGTCGCTCAGTTGTGTCCAACTCTTTGTAACCCCGTGGACTGCAGCACGCCAGGCCTCCCTGTCCATCACCAACTCCCGGAGTTTACTCAAACTCATGTCCATTGAGTTGGTGATGGCATCCAACCATCTCATGCTCTGTCGTGCCCTTCTCTCCCTGCCCTCAATCTTTCCCAGCATCAAGGTCTTTTCCAGTGAGTCGGCTCTTTGCATCAAGAGACCATAGTACTGAGGTTGAGTCATCAAGAATGCTGAGACTGACCTTGACTACTATCAGTGAGCTCCTCACAGAGCTTTTAGAGACCTCTTTCTGGGCCCTGTGTGGGGCGTGGTGGGGTGGGATCTTAGGGGGATGGGCAGGACTTGCAGCAGTGCCTGGCTGCTATGAAGATCAGCAGCAGCCCTGGGGCTCCAGACCACCAGACCCAAGGGGCTCAGGGGGAAGTGCCCACAGGACAGCTTGTGAGGGTTACAGAAGCAGCCCAGGGACCTGTGAGTCGTGAGAGACCCGGAGCCCCAGCCCAGCCCAGTCCCGGGTCGTCTGTGAAGGGCAGGTGACCTCAGAGCACCCAGCTAGCGCCTGGATCAGTGATGCTTCAGGTCCTCCCTAGGTCTGTCCTGGTTCTAATTGGGTCACCACCTGAGTGGGCAGATAATCTCCCAGGTGCTTATTTATAGCAGACTCCTGCGCCCTGCCCCACCCCCAAGATCCTGACTCAGTAGGCTGGGGATGGGGCTGAATCTGAAATTTAACATGTCTGTGGAACAGCTGAAAAACCTAGTCTAGACTTCCCCAAAGTAAACTGACAGTGCCCAGAATTGCACAATAAATATTGCACAACACGTGACCAGCACCAGCTGAGGCCCATCAGTCACCGTGCTAACAGGCACGCGAGCTCCGGCCACAGGCAGGGTCCAGACGCCGTGTCCACAGACCCCAGAACATTTTACACATCCCTCAGCCTAAGGCACGTGGGATGGAACTGCAGGTCCATGGTTCTGAACAGACGCGCTGGATCGCAAGCGGCCTTGATCATCTCTCAGAGCAACGGAATCTGGTCCAGTTTGAGATCAGGGTGAAGGCTCTTTAGGTGTTAATAGTTAATCTAAGCAAACTGATGGCTTGTGGCTGGTAACAAACTCATAACATACAAACGTACCCTCTGACTGACTGTGCAACCTCCCCAGCATCTTCAGCTAGAAGACGAGGCGACAGCACCATTCACATCCGAGCCTGACCCACCAGGGTCCCTGCCGCTGCGGCCCAGACAAGGGCGGGGAGGGCGTCCCCTCCCGGTTAGATGTATGCAAAGCCCCGGCCTCACCCCTATCCCCTTACTACAGTGGGTTCTTCGAAAGAACGAGGTGCTTTCTCCAGTCACGAAACAAGCTGAGGCAGCCAACTCGGGACAAGCCAGCCACCTTACAGCCCAAGCCCCCCCGCCCTGACACCCAGCCCCCGGCTCCAGTCACCAGGTGCTTCTTCCAGGCTGCCGCCTGCTCTCCGGGCTCCCCTTCTCCTCCACTGTGCTCCGGGCCCCCCACTGCCCACCCCCCACCAACGGCCAGCTCTCTGAGAGCACAGACCACAGCCACCACCTGGTGGGAACCTGGGGCCCGGGGAGGAGGCAGCACCCCTTCCCGCACACAGCCGTGGCCCCGCGTCAGGTGCGTGGGGAGAAGGGCACACCTGAAATGGAGTGAGCCTGAAGGCAAACACGGGCAACCCGCCCGGCCTGCACCCAGGACACACCCGGCGACTGGCCTGCATGCCCAGGGGCGAGACCTGGCACCCGCCCTGCCCAGTGGACAGACCGGGACACCCGGGCCCCCCCAGTGGACAGACCTGGACGCCGGGCCCCTACTGAGTGAACAGACCCCATCCACCCCACCCCCAGTAGACAGACCCTCCCCACCCTCCACCCGACCCCGCCCAGTGGACAGACCTCCCCACCCATTCGCCCGACTCCGCCCAGTGGACAGGCCCCGCCCACCGATCCCCTAGTGGACAGACCCCAACGTCTGGCCCCGCCCAGTGGACAGACCCCGCCCACCCCGCCCCCAGTGGACAGAGCCCGACGTCTGGCGGCTTACCCGCGGGGATGATGCCGATGCGCAGCGGGCTGGGTACCAGCGTGGCCCGGGGCTGGTTCTGGTCCACACCGGCGTCCCTCTGTGTCCTGCCCACCAGGCCGTGCAGGACCTCGCTGAACATGCCGTCTCCGCCCACGCACACGATGCTGCCGGCGGAACAGGGAGCGGACTCAAAACTTGATGCTGGCTCCCAGCTCCCCCAGGGTCCAGGCAGGGCCTTCCCGCCTGCCTGTGCTGCTGGGCCAGCCGGTCCCTACCCACCCACTTTGCTCCTGCTCCCACACCAGATGGCGTTAGACCCCCTGTGTCTAAGGAGGGGAGACTTCGGACCCGCTGGAGCCACAGGCTGGGCTCTGAGAGGCCGGGAAGGGTCTGGCCTGGGGGACCAAGTGAAGGTGGGGCTGGAACCAGGCCTCAGGGGACGCCCCTGCCCTCCAGCCCGGCAGCTGAAAGGTAAGCAGGCAAGACCCACACAGGCCCCTCTTCCCCTGCCAGCCCCTGACCAAGGCCCCCAGGAGCTCGGACCCTCTGGCAGGTGACACACGGCTCCCTCCCGGGCCCTCCCCCACCACGGCCCACTCCCGCCGTGTGACCCTGGACCTGCTGACCCTCAAGCGGCCTGACGTCCCCAGGGCCACAGTCACCCACTGGGGACCCAAGAGCTTTCTCGGGGCCCTGGGACCCGGATCAGCGACACTCAGGACGCCAAGCACCAGCAGAGACGGTGCCGGCGGCCCTGGTCACACAGCTGGAGAGACAGGGACCAGGGTCGGACAGACGCTGGCCGCCCAGGCCCTGAGCCTTCCTGTGACCGGACTGGCCGGGCCCTCAGCTTCCTCCACCCTCCCCGGTTGGCTGCATGGACTTCAAAACCTGTGTCAGCCCATCTCACTGCTGGGTGACGCTTGGTGAGGATCCGGTCATGAGGACTAGCTGATTCTCCCCCAGACGTCCTGGAGAGCATCCCCCTGTCCTGTGTCCTCTGCCAGCGTCCAGCCGCTCCTGCCCGGGACCTATAAGCCCTGGCGGCCTCCCAGGTCCAATCCCATCTCCGTGCTATTCGCCACGTGGGTCTCAACCAACACTCCTGCGCCTATAGGGGCGCAGTGTGTGAGCTTCCCGTCTCCTCAGCACCTTTCCCCGCTCTCTGCTCATCCACCAGGCCCTGGCCACGTGCCAGAGTTGTGCCGGCATGGGGACAGCTGTGCCCGAGGCAGAGGAGGCCGGTCTGCAGGAGCTGACCAGCGGACAGGGACAGCAGAGACGCAGACTCTGGCCGGGGCCAGCCCCTCCTGCTGTGGGACACAGGGACCAGCCCTGCACCCCTGCGTCTGAAGGCCACGCCTGCCCCGGGGCTCTTCTGCTTTAGGGAACTAACGGGGCGCGGGCAGAACCGGGTCAGGACAGCACACGGGTGACGGCGTCTGTGTCAGGGCCCATCTCCTGAGCAGTGATGCCCGCATCTTAGCTCTGAAGGACATCCTCGATTTTAGGGCATACACACACATATTTAAGGACAAGAGGGGATCACCTTCAAATGAAAGGGTTTCTGTATGAGGCAGTGAGACAGAAGGGAAACCAAACTTCCACGGCGGTCCTCTGAGGAACAGAGGAACGCAGGGTCCTCTGCACATTCCTGCTTTGCCCAGTTTGCAGGGGAACCAAGTTTACTTCCAGAGGGAGGGAGGGAGGGAACAGGGCCGGTGAGGATGGACTGAAAGTAGTGGATGGGGATGCTCACTCACCCATCGTACTTGTCTATGTTGAGCTCATACAGACTCTCCTTGGCATGATTGGCACGTTCAGTTACTGTGGGAGAAACAACATGGGGTTGTAGCGTTTACACTGAAGTCTGAGAATCTGTTTAAAGTGAAGGTGGGTTAAACCACTTTAAAATGAGGTCCTGTAAAATCCTCGGGTGGGTTGGCTGTAAGGAATCCTCCTTAGTCTTCCCCAAATCCCCTTCACAGAGAGGGATGGAGCTGGCCTCGGGGAGCACGACCTCCCAGAATACACTCCGCGGATAAGACGTCCCGTTATTGGCACTTAATTGCCAACCAATAACAATTTTGGGGGGAAGAGGTTACATCTTCTATTTCATAGTTTCCCCTTAGCAGCCAAAGGGCTTTGTAAATTTTAGAATGCCAAATGTAGAAAATGTCAATCCGCAGTCTGTTTACTCACTATAATTTTTAAAACTCTCTTGTGCACACGATTTTGTATCCTTTCTCCCCTAGCATCTTATCACAACCCCCTTTTTATCATTAAAACTTCCTTGTAAAGACCATTTTAAAGAACTACAAACTATTCCTCCAGATTCACCACAGTGTTATCCATGTTTCTTATTTGGGGCATCAGCGGTTTCCAGTGTTTCATTTTTATAAAAACGAGGCAACAGACGTTTGCATACCTCTCTCTCTTCACAGCTGATGGTTTCCCCTGGAAAGTTTAAAAAACCCGAAGACTCTTGACCTGCACTGCCAAGGGGCCCTTTAATAAGTTTACACGAAGCCTCTGAGGTTCTGAACAGGAGGCACTGTCTCCCAACAGCCTCCCGGCATCGAGAACCTGCTCTGAAACTCAGCGCCACAAGTGTGGCATCGCACGTGTTTCTTAAAACGCCACTCACCGGTGAAATGATTTCTAAGCCTTACTAACTGCTTGCATCTCCTGCAAGAACTTTCTGTCTGTGGTCTTTGTCCTTTTCCCTCGTAGTGTTTTTCTTGAGGGATTTATATGCTAACTGTTGGCTGGAACAGTCTACACTCTTTACTTTGCATTTTTCTCATTCTGGCATGCTAAACCCCTGACATTCTATTTTGTTAAAAGACTCTTAGACAGGGAATTCCCTGGCGGTCCAGTGGTTAAAACTCTGCACTTCCATGTTCAAGGGTCCAGATTTAAGATCAGGGAACTGAGATCCCATGAGTGGCATGGTATGGCCACACACACAAAGTCTCATCCAGCGAAAACCTTCCCTGGATCGTTCCCAATCTTTCTTCTGCACACCGCGCAGAGACCTCATGCCTTACCGATAATGTCGGTGGTGATGGAGGCCAGTGTGAACAGCGGGGCCACCTTCTTCTCGTAGATCCGCTTGCCCTGTCCTTTCCCCCCGAGTGGGTTGATGAACACCAGTAGGTGCTTTGGTCTCGATGCTACAGAACAACAGCAGCGTGTAAGTCGCAGTGAGGGGACGTGTTCAGACTCGTCCAGAGGTCCAGCTGGACAAGCAGCGGACCGAGCGCCAGCGGTCTGAGACTCGGGGGAAGGTCAGGACGCACTGGTTAGACGGCAGGTAGTAGACACCTGTCCCATCCAGCAGAATTAGAGGGTGAAATGCAGAGACCAAGTCCCACCGCCCAGATGCGAAGCCAAAGACGTGCTTTTTCCAAGCCAGGAAGCTGCTCTGAAGCTGCTACATGGGAAATGCTGTCTTCTAATACATTAAAATTCACTTTTTAGATCTAGATGCCAAATTAATTTTAAATGATAGAAAATCAACCTAAGCACATGCTTTCTTTTCGGTGGTTGATGTCTGTACTGAGTTTTTGAGACTGTATTAAGACTATACCCACAACAGATAAGCAAAATAACATATAAAGGGTGATAAACAGTAAGCTCCTACTGCATGGAACAGGGGAACTATATTCAGTATCGTGTTATAAACCATAATGGAAAAGAATCTGAAGGAAAATACACGTACACACACACACAAACACACACACATAACTAAGTCACTGAGCTGTACAACAGAAATTAACACAACATTGTAAATCAAGTTTGTAAATCAAATGCTTTTGAAGTGTGGTGTTGGAGAAGACTCTTTTTTTTTTTTTTTTTTTTTGGAGAAGACTCTTGAGAGTCCATTGGACTGCAAGGAGATCCAACCAGTCCATCTTAAAGGAGATCAGTCCTGGGTGTTCACTGGAAGGAATGATGCTGAGGCTGAAACTCCAATACTTTGGCCATCTGATGCAAAGAGCTGACTCACTGGAAAGGACCCTGATGCTGGGAAAGATTGAAGGCAGGGGGAAGAGGGGACAACAGACGATGAGATGGTTGGATGGCATCACTGACTTAATGGACATGGGTTTGGGTGGACTCCGGGAGTTGGTGATAGACAGGGAGGCCTGGCGTGCTGCGATTCATGGGGTTGCAGAGTCGGACATGACTGAGTGACTAAACTGAACTGTAAATCAACTATTCTTCAATTCAAAAAATATATATACCCAAACAACATGGGTGTTTCAGGTACAAAACGAGCAGACACCTACTGTGTTTTGAGTGGGACAGACGGACCCTCATTACACAGCAGTAATTCACAGCTGAGACACCCCCACATGGACACAGGTGCGCCCCCCGGGCACCGGGTTTAGTCCTCTGTCCACCTTGAGCTCAGGTCTCACCACCCCACTTCCCAGGAGAAGAAACCTAGGCCCACACCAAGGGGCCTGCCCAGCCTGGCGTCCGTAAGTGAAGGCGCTGGCACCCGGGGGCCAGGCTGTGGGCACCCCCCCGCGCGGTCCTCTAACCAGCAACGTGTTCAGCAGTCAGCGTCTCGCCACGCCCGCCTCTGCGCTGAGCGCAAAGCAGGCACGTACTCAGCGCCTCCAGCAGCTCCCGCAGGGTCTGCAGCCACAGATGATACAGCCGCTCCTCCGGACACCAGAACGTCACCTGCGCCCACCTCCAGCGGCGCCGCCGGGCCCTCCGCACACGGTGCACTGCGCGGAGAACACACACGTGAGCGCGGCGCGGCCCCAGCTCCCCTGATGCGCCCCTGTCCTGATTGGTTCATCCCCTCAAGCGTCTATGAGGGAAGAGATCCTACCCCTCAGTTCTTTTAACCCGTGTAAAGAAATAAAAAAGATGAACAAAACATTAAAAATAGAGCTTGGATGTGCACAACTGGTTCACTTTGCACTACAGCAGAGATGAACACAAAGCTGTAAACCAACTGTACCTCAGTAAAAAATAAAAAAACCAGAGCTTGGAAAAATGACATAGGGACCTCTCTATAAAGATAAACCAAGGACACAGTGAGTCTGGTAAGCGAATGACAAGGAAGTTCTCTTTCATGTGAGCTGCCTGGAGCTGCGAGGGACTTTCCGGCACGTCACCTGTGAACGCGTACGGCTTTTCCATTTTCTGCCATTTTCCGCTGGTGTACTGCTTCCCGTTAACGTCCGTCTCCTCAACGGTGATGATCTCGGAGACAGGCACAGAGCAGGCATCTGTAAAGACACCAGGTCCTCACTCAGCGGGCTGCAGGGCTCACCTGGACAGCGGGAGAGCGGCTCCACGGCGCTGGGGCGCCCTGCGTTCAATTCAGCAGGTGCCCCGAAGACAGAGGACAAGCTCTGTGTCATCTTAAGCCTCTGCGCTAAATAAGGCTGGGACCCCAGTCCACGCCATCTGAAGTCGGGGTGTTTCGTCCACAGGGACTGAAGTGGGCTGCGAGTTCTGAGGCCAGCTCCCGTGCTGAACCCAGGGAAAGGTGTTCACACCCCAGCACCTGTGGTTCAGTCTGCTCAGAAATGAAGCAGGAAGGAGGCCCGGGACAGACCACGACCCCGCAGTGTGCGGTGAGTCAGGGCCACACCAGTTGGGGATGGCAGGAGGCTCGGGGTCCAACCACCCACTCGGGCGCAGGAGGAGGAAGGGGGCGCCTGGGTGGGTGGGAGAGGACAGCACGGAACACCCTCGACTGGAGACCCAGTCGTCACCACGGGCCTCAGGTAAGGACACAAACACAGCCGTGGGAAGTGCGAGGTGACAGCCTGTAACCCAACGCGGGGCCCAGAAAGACCGCGCCAAGGACAGGACCTGGAAGCAGGGCGGCTGGAGGTCAAGCCCCCAGCGAGAACAGGCTACGTCCCCCAAGCCCACCGGCGAAGCGGGTCCCCGTCCACCTGCACGCAGAGGCACACGGTGACTCCTCGCGGCCCCAGGCTGGCTCGGACACCCGCAAGAGCTAAATGAAACGACGGCGCTGGGACACTTGGGATGACCTTGCATCACCTGTGGCCTAGTGGCCTAAGGAAATCAAGTTACACGAACCAGCTCAGACGCCTCAAAGTTCTGAGAGCGAGGTGTCCCCAGGGTCAGAGGTGCTGGGGTGGGGCAGGAAAGGGACACTCTTACAGCAGAGCTGGAAGCTGGCTGGGCAGACCCGACCCAGTAGAGCCTCCACCCAGGGCCTCCCACCCAGGCTCTGACTCTCCGAAGCTGTGACCCCTCTCGTACCCCCTGCTCCCGAGGGGTATCTGCCCGGCCTGCCAGCGGTCAGACCAGAGGAGGCTGGGAGGGGCTGCCTGGGAGAGAAGCGGGGGCAGGGGCGTTTGGGGGTGGAGCCTCGCAGAGGGCCCGAGACTGGGGTGCTTTCACGGGGTGGGGTGGGGGCTCTGACACCCCAACAGGGAAGAATTCCAGGCTGACTCTTGCCATCTTCTGCTACTCAGCTGACCCACAGCTTTCTCTGCTGCTTGGGTGAGAAAAACAACACCACGTCAGCAGGATACAACCTTTTACACGCGCACCGCTTGTACACATCAACAGACGCGGTGACAAGCGGAACTATTTTCTCTAAAAGGGATAGAGATCATGGGGGTCTGGAAAAACACACACACACACACACACACACACACACTATCTACATCTTGCTTGATCGAGGAAGGACAAGCCCAGAATCCAGGATCCGGATGGAGGCTGTCCTGGGTGAGCCTGTGCTGGGGGTTGTTGTTATTGTTAAGGCACTAGGTTATGTCCAGCTCTTTGTGACCCCAAGGACTGGATCCCACTGGGTGCCTCTGTCCATGGGATTTCCCAGGCAGGAATACGGTGGCAGTGGGCTGCCATTTCCTTCTCCAGGGGATCTTCCCGACCCAGGGACGGAACCCACATCTCCTGCTGTGGCAGGCGAATTCTTTATCACTGAGCCACCTGGGAAGTGTGGCCGGCAGGGTGGCAATCAGAAAACAGGACTTGGTGAGTGATGGACTTGGGACAGAGGCCGGTCCCACCCGGCTCCCTCAGCCCCTCCGTCTGCTAGGCCGAGAGTTCGGCCCGAACCTCCTGATGACACGTGGGCCGGCAGCTGAAACGGGCAGGGGCTGTGGACGCCACCCAGTTGGGGCGAGGAGGGAGGGGTCCGGCACAGACGGCAGGTCCCTTCCCGCCTCGCTCGCCTGCTGCCCCCGGGCCTCGGAGCCTGCTGCGTGTCGCTTCACGTTTGCAGGTCCGTGTCACACCCTCGTCTTCAAAACCCTCCTCTCCAGTGAGGGGGCCTCGAGAGCCTGGGAGAGGTCAGTCCTAAGTCAGGCATGGCTGGCGGGATGACCCGCTCAGAGCCTGTCATTTTGTCTCTGGTGCTGCTGGCTGTGTGTGGCTCCAAGAAACAGTCACGGGCACGGTGCAGGGAAAGTGGCACCGCGGTCCCCGGGTCACCCTGCCTGCGCTGTCGCGGAGGCGCCTCCGGCCTCAGCAGTGCCCGTTGTGTGAACACACGTGGGAATGGCCGTCCACGTCTATAGACAGACCCGGGAAGCACACCTGGCAAAGAGCTGATGGTGGGAACTAGGACCACTTTCCTTTTCTGCGCTTATTAGCATTTCTCTCCCATGGCTTGCATTCTGCATAATCCTGCACTGCATAAAAGATTAGATAAAAAGTCCAAAGTCTTCTGTGAAAGGGTAAGTGACGCAAGGCGCTGGAGTTGCTTTCTAACCAGATGGAACCAAATCAAGGCCGGCACCAGACTCGCCGGGCGGACGAAGGGCCCGGTGCCCACGCTGGCCACTGCGCCTTCCCCAAGCAGTGCCTCCCACCCCACCGGGGCGACACCCACGCCCAGACGGCGCTCCCCGAGCTGCTCCTACCGCCGGGAGGCGCCCTCGTGGTCACTGGCCGACTGTGCCTTGTCGCAGGATCAGTGGCCGAGGCTCCTGGGCGTCCCCTCTCCTTTTATAAAGTCACAACCCAACGTCCCCTTTCAAACAAACTTCTGAACAGAAGGTTCTGGAACGGACGCTTGATTCCCTGGGTGCCTCCCTGGCCCAGGGCTCCCCCGCCCCCACCCTAGCCCCTCTTCGTGGTGGGGCTGTCTATCACTGGAGGGTTTCAGCAGCACCCCTGGGGTCCAGCCACTCATGCCGCCCCCTGCCCACCGCTCCAGTTCTGCCAGAGGTCGGCCAGCGTCTCCCACTGCCTCCAGGGCTGGTGGGCTTAGCGACTCTTCTCCAAACATGAAGCAGGGAGCAAGCTGAGGTTCCGAGCCCAGTGCCGACTCCTGCTCTGATCAAACAAGGATTTTTTTAACTCTGGATAATCGCCCCCCCCATCCCCCCAACACACACACCTAAAGCAGAAGTCAAAGATTTTCAACCACGGTTCAGCCAAGTCAAGCAGGCTTGTTGGGATGGCAGTCTTATTGGCAGCCTTTCTAAAACCTCTGCTCTACTAAATTACTAAAGCAAAGTGACTTTCTCAGGGTGATTTTTTTAATTTCCTGAGATGAAGAAAAGGACTCCGCCTGTGGCAACGGCCACCCCGGGGACAAATGGTGCAGGGGGCGCCCACGACTGGGTCAGGCAGATGGAAACTGCCCTCTACCACGAGCCAGTCCTCTGTCCTCCCGGGGACCGAGCCGGGGGAGGAGGACCAGGGTTCCCTCCACCTCCTTTCACGCTTGGACAAGACCATTCAAGAGGCAGAAGACCCCCAAGGCCACCCAACCCAGGCAGGAGCCCCCTGCTCAGCTCTAGCTCCGGGAGCTCGGATTCAGTGACCTCCCAGGCTGGCGGGAGATGCAGGAGACGTGAGTTTGATCCCTGGGTCAGGAAGATCCCCTGAAGGAGGAAATGGCAACCCACTCCAGGACTCTTGCCTGGAAATTCCATGGACAGAGGGGCCTGGCGGGCTACAATCCACGCGGTCGCAAACAGGTGGACACGACAGAAGCGACTCAGCAAGCGTGCAGGCTAGCAGTGCCCACCCTGGGTCACAGCCCTGCCACTGTGAGACCCCGGGGCCCGAGGGACAGAGGACCTCACCAGGTCATCCTGCTGGGTGCGCAGTGAGCCAAGTTCGGCAGCAGAGAGAGGCTTTCCTCCCGAGGCAGCCGCGCACTGGGACAGCATGGAGAGCAAGCCTCAGGCACGCCTCCCCGAAGGCCAGGGGCTGGGGTCCCCGGGGGACGGAGCCGCAGGGCCTCCAGGGCGCAGGCAGCGTGGGGGAACGTCCATCACCGTGCACTGGGTAACCGGGCGCCGGCCTCCACTCGGTCAGAAACGGAGGCGCTCAGCTCCCCCCGAGGGCAGAGTGTTTGGCCCTGTGATGTTAATAGGCCAGTGAGTGTACAGCCACTGTGGGAGACAGTATGGAGATTCCTTAAAAACTAGCAATAAAACCACCATATGACCCAGCAATCCCACTCCTAGGCATATACCCTGAGGAAACCAAAATTGAAAAGGACACATGTATCCCACTGTTCATTGCAGCACTATTTACAATAGCTACAACGTGGAAGCAACCCAGATGACCATCGACAGATGAATGGATAAAGAAGTTGTGGTACATACATACAATGGACTATTACTCAGCCACAAAAAAGAACACATTTGAGTCAGTTTCTGATGAGGTGGCTGAACCTAGAACCTATTATAGAGAGTGAAGTGAGTCAGAAAGAGAAAGATAAATATCATATTCTAACACATATATATGGAATCTAGAAAAACGGTACTGAAGAATTTATTTACAGGGCAACAGTGGAGAAACAGACATAGAGAATAGACTCATGGACGTGGGGAGAGGGGAGGAGAGGGTGAGATGTATGCAGAGAGGAACACGGGCACTTACATCACCGTATGTCAAATAGACAACCAACGGGGATTGGCTGTGTGGCTCAGGAAACTCAAACAGGGGCTCTGTATCAGCCTAGAGGGGTGGGATGGGGAGGGAGCTTCAAAAGGGAGGGGATGTATGTATACCTGAGGCTGATTCACGTTGAGGTGTGAGAGAAAACAGCAAAAGTCTGTAAAGCAATTATCCTTCAATAAAATAAAAGTCTCTGAGCACACACTCGCGCCGGCCCAGCTGAACAGTCAGTGGTCCTGTCTCGTCTCAGCCGAGGTGCAGGGACCAGACAGAGCTGACTCCAAGCCTCCGGGAGACACCCAGGCACACATTGTGTTGTTTACGCTCTGCGCTGCCTGGAGGATGTGCAGTTGTGAAACCACCTTAATTATGGATGCAGGTGCAGCAGATCCAACTCAAACCCACCGTGTCACCCCGACACCCCCGCCTGTCCGATGGCACAGACGTTCCTCCTGCTCGGCCCCCGGGCCCTGTGGGAGCTCCCTCCCGGCTCTGCGCGTGTCTGCGTGTGCGTACATCTGTGTGATGTGTACCCGTATGCTGTGCAGCTGAGGAGTCACGGACCGACAAACACCCTCTGCCACGGCTCGCTCCAGGCAGAGCCGTCCCCCGGGTCCTACAGGACACACGGGGCCTTCAGCTGCACCCCCAGCTCTGACCCGCCCTGCCAAACTCTTGCCCGGGCCCCCCAACCTGGGCTCCCCGCACACCCTCATGAG